ATAGGACTTTGAGATAGGTAAAAATAACAAAATGGTATATGTGATATCTTTTGACCCAAGCATAAATTGAGGCAGAGTCGCTTGAAGTTGTTGGCCTCAATCTTTCTTCCAGAATCATTGGAGTCCAATGCCAAGATAAAAATCAAGATGACTGGCAATGGCCCAGGATGCAGTGAATGACCTTGGCATCTTTGATGTCTGACCAAACTCTAAGCACTCCACAGCACTTGCTTTTACTACCTTCATGGCCCATTGCAACAAATTGTTCATATCCACCCATTCTGCCAGGGAAAGTCTTCACATGCTTAGTTGGGGTAGATACCTCCTTAACTCACCAATGGATTTGAGGCCTGTCAATTATCTTCAGCCTGGTTTAGCCCATCTGCCAAAATGGTTTACCTGGGTGTGGCCAATATGCATGCTACAGCTTCTTAGAGCCACAGGTGAGAGTTGGGTGGCAAGTGGACACCAAAGGTGGAAAGCAGCCCTCACACCAGAGGTACTAGTCTTCCCTGACACCCATACACTCCATGAATAAATAGTACAAGGCAAAGGAAATTGAATCAACCAATACCCAATGAAGCAGAGGACCCAGTGGATTTCCAAGAGCATGAAACTATAACAGTGTATTAATGGATTAAGATACAAATGGAAAAAGCAAGAGAGTCCCTAACCTCAAAGAGTTTACATTCTAATAGAGTAAGATAACACCAATGAGGCAGTGGTGGCCAGGTAGGAATGTTTTAGTTAGAGAAGTAATATTGACCTCAGTTAAAATGGATCCTGGCAAGGAAACCACACACTAGCACCAAAAAAATACTTCCTCTGAATATTCCAGTTATTATTCATTTTGGTTTTGCAAAAGTTTTTTAGTTTCATATAGTCAAAGTTATCCTTTTGTAATTGCTTCTGTTCTTTATTTGGTTAAGAAGATACTTCCTATCCATAGCTGAGAAAAACATATCACTTAATTGTCTTCTAATTTTTTATGGTGTGATCTTTAATATTAAGATCACTTATTCATTTAGATTTTATTGTGGAATATGGTGTAAGATGTTGGTCTAAGCCTAATTTCTACAAGTTTGCTTTCCAGTTTTCCCAACAGTTTTTATCAAATAAGGAGTTCTTTCCTAAGAAATTTGTTTTGAAACGTTGGGTCATTGAGTCCCACTGTTTCTGGTTCTTCATTGTCTGTCTGTTCCAATGATTCTATTTTTAACCAATAACAAATGGTTTTAATGATTGCTGCTTTATAATATAGTTTGAAGTCTGAAATTGCATAATAATTGTTCATCTGTATTAGTAGAAGGAGTTAACTCACCCCAAAGGGAGCTCCCTACATTGATGAAATCACTGGGGGAAAGAAAAAGAAAAAAAGGTGAGAATATCCTTAATTGACACTGTCATCTTATCAAATAGGTTCCGTATAAGAAATGGGACTGAAGATTCCCTTACCTATTAACCTGTATGATAAGCTTCAAACTGGAAGGGACCTTCAA